AGAATAATTATTATTAAGTGGGCAGCTTGATTACCCCAAACTTGTGTGTCGTTTTTCACGAGCAGTTTTCGTTTCTTCTTTTCATCGTCGACTTCATAAAGACAACGAGATGATGTGGGAGAAAGAAAGCTGTCCTTTGAGAAACATGACAAATATCACGTTGTGAAAACTTACCTTAATCAACTTGTGATAGTTGAATGAATTCGTTTGAAAAGGCTCAGTTCAGTACATGTACACAGATAACAGATAGATATTCTTTAGGGCCTCTGCCCGTTATGCTCTCGCAATGTTGTCTTAATGATTGGGGACAACTGGACTGGATGGAAAACATATTTTTTTAAACTAAAGGAATGTAAAGATTTCAATTCTCTTGAATTTTCCAAAAGTCTTGGACGCGATAGACTGAGTTACGTATTTAATAAAACAATCAGACAGTCTCTCTCACGCATTTCACTTACTGAGACTCATAGGGTATTTATGGACAGATGGGCCAATTTAATTTGACCAATAGATAATTTACTGTAAAAATAGAAAGGCTCTTCCCAAACCTTGAGTAACAATTTATCTAAACAGTGTGCCTATATAGGAGAAAAGCAAAGAGTGGCTTGATGACTTCAAACATGTGTGTCGTTTTTCACGAGCAGTTTTTCTTTCTTCTTTTCATCGTCGACTTCATAAAGACAACGAGATGATGTGGCAGAAAGAAAGCTGTTCTTTGAGAAACGTGACAAATATCACGTTTGAAAATTTACCTTAATCAACTTGTGATAGTTGAATGAATTCGTTAGAGAAAACTTGGTTCAGTAGATTTACATGTACACAGATAACAGATATAACTTTAAATTCTTTAGGGCCTCTGCCCGTCGTGTTCTCGCCATGTTGTCTTAATGATTGGAGACAACTGGATGGAAAACTTTATTTTTTTAAAACTAAAGGAATGTAAATATTCAATTTTCTTTAATTTTCTAAAAGTCTTGGACGTGATAGACTGAGTTACGTATATAATAAGACAATCAGACTGTCTTTTTCACTCATTTCACTTAAATGGACAGATGGGCCAGTTTCATAAATAGATAATTTACGGTAAAAATAGAAAGGTTCTACCCAAACCTTGAGTAACAATTTATTTAAACAGTGTGCCTATATAGGAGAAAAGCAAAGAGTGGCTTGATGACTTCAAACATGTGTGTCGTTTTTCACGAGCAGTTTTTCTTTCTTCTTTTCATCGTCGACTTCATAAAGACAACGAGATGGTGTGGCAGAAAGAAAGCTGTCCTTTGAGAAACAAGACAAATATCACGTTGTGAAAACTTACCTTAATCAACTTGTGATAGTTGAATGAATCCGTTTGAGAAGACTCAGTTCAATAGGCTACGTGTACACAGATAACAGATAGATATTCTTTAGGGCCTCTGCTCGTCGTGTTCTCACAATGTTGTCTTAGTGATTGGAGACAACTTGATGGAAAACATATTTATTTTTAAATGATAGGAATGTAAAGATTTCAACTTTCTTGAAATTTCTGAAAGTCTTGGACGCGATAGACTGCGTTATGTATCTAATAAGAAAATCAGACTGTCTCTCTCACAAATTTCACTTACGGAGACTCATTGGGTTTTTATGGACTGATGGGCTATTTTCATCAATAGATAATTTACTGTAAAAATAGAAAGGCTCTACCCAAACCTTGAGTAACAATTTATTTAATCTTTGTGCCTATATAGGAGAAAAGCAAAGAGTGGCTTGATGATTTCAAACATGTGTGTCGTTTTTCATGAGCAGTTTTTCTTTCTTCTTTTCATCGTCGACTTCATAAAGACAACGAGATGATGTGGCAGAAAGAAAGCTGTCCTTTGAGAAACATGACAAATATCACGTTGTGAAAACTTACCTTAATCAATGTGTATCATGTTCTTTGATGAATTAAGGAATTAGACATCAGAATGGCAAAAAATATACATTGTGAAGCAAAAGTAATACACGTTGAAAGCATTTTGGTTTAAACTTTGCCTTTTGGGGTATTTGAAAAGTGCATCGACAAAGAAATAAAATAAATGATAAATAAATAAATAAATTTTAATGAATAATTTAACGAAATTAAAATTATAATTTATAAAAGGAGATCCTTAAACCTGAAAGTCAATTTGTTGAAAATGTACATACGTTGTAAAACGTCATGATTAAAGATAGTAAATTACGAATCGTTGTTTTGTAACTTCCCATTAGTCTCTTGTGCTAATGTTTGGGCGATTCTACACCTGTTGGGTGAGCTGTACACAATTAATTCGTTATATCATGATAGCCCGACATTTGTCTTATAGATTTTTCCATGACCATATTCATAGAGTTTTCAATTTAGAGACAGTCTTCGTCTCTGACTGCATTTATTCATTTCCCCCTCAATGAAGGCCGAGGATATTGCCACGTTTCAGGTGTAGTGACAGATTTGTATGGCGTATGGTGCCTTTTGAATTGTGTGGCTGCGTGTTGAGCTGCTTTTTGTGACAAATAAAATGTGATTTGTAATAATTTGACTTGTTTTTCTTATTTAAATGTATTTTTCATTTTGTAGTAACACCTAGAACTAGAGCTGATGGTGAGAGGACGTTCTCTGGTATTATTTTCTTGTTCTACTTCTTTCCAACATTGCTCTTGTCTTAGTTCATAGTTCATGAAATGTAGTGTCGCCATCATGGCAACTTTTTTCTCCTGACATTCAACCTAATCTTCACAGAATCTTCTTTTCTCTCGAAATAATTAGATGGGTAGGCTACATGTGTTAAGCTTTGAATGCTCTTGAAGCATCTTAAATGTTCTTTAAATGTAAAGGTGGTGGGGTGGGGGGGGGGGTGCGCCACCATCAACACAATTTAGATCATTTAGGCTGTCAGGTCGAACCCGGGTTGACAGGGATTAACACCCAACAGATAACCAGAACACGAGATTCAAATTGTCTCCCTCTCGGGAATCGAACTCCGGTTCCCTGCGCAAGAAGGCAAAGTGTTAAACCGCTACACCATAGACGCTGGTTGTCTTTGCAGTCCACGAAATATCGTGCCACCATCATGGTGACTTCTTTTTCTTGACATTCAATCATTCAACCTAACAACACAGACACGGGTTGTTTGTAACTCTTGTATTTAATGTAGTGGGTGTTGAACTTTGAGTTTGAGTGCTCTTGAAACACCAACATTTAAAAAAAAGAAGATATTTTTACGTCCCTACCCCCTCCTCTGGACTCCTGACTCTTTCTACAGCCTTTCTACTGCTACTCCTTGGCTCTATCATTGTCTATCTTACTGCTGTCTTTCAGCCACACCCCTGATCTTATGGAGGTATGATCTAACACCTATCCTTCTCGGATAAAGGCCAAAAATCTCAGAGGTCCCGAGTGCAAGTTGTGCACGATAAAGATCTCTTCGAGGTCCAAAATTGATAAGACTAAGGGTAGGCTTCGGCCGCCACCCGGGAAAAATTCAAAATTTCCTACCAACTGAAAATGTTTAATGTGTCCCGAGCGCTCATATAACCTTATGCAGTTGCGAGCGCCGCTAAACAACAACAACAACACACACACTCACACAAAACAACAACAAAAAACAACAACCCCCCCAAAAAAACAACAACAACAACAAACAAACAACCAACAACCCCAAGACTCTGACTTCCTGGTTGATGTCTGTGAATTGTGGTTGCCCTCTGACTCTGAGAGAGACATAAGAAATGGGGACGCACGTGGAGTACCGTTGTGAGAATATATTGAGATCTTGGAATGATGGGCTACCAACAGTGCTCGACAATATTCTCCTTTTATTTTATAGTGCGATCAAAAATTCGAGGCGCAACTTATTGTCAAATATCGAGCATGGACTCTCCAGCTTTCGCACAATGTTTTGTATCAATTTCACTAAACAGATCAATACTTTTGTAAGCACCTGTTAGCTGCATTCGCGAAAATTCCTTTACAAATAATAATTAAAAATCCAAGTGGGTGGTTTCTACAGATTTGAAAATGTTCACAGCCTATAAAAGTAATAAAAGCAATACCGTCACTTTTTTTCCCCTAATCGCTACTTTACGCAAAAAAAGTGTTCTCTATTAAATTAATTTCTCGTAACAAGTTTTGTCACTAAAAAGTGTGTTTGGTGAGTTTTGAAACGTAGGCTATAATGTGTATGCAAAATGTATGTGAGAAGCAAAAAGTATTGTGAACAAATTACAATCCCATTTTCGCGTCACGGAGATTTATAGTATTTTTATATGAAGTTATAAAAATCATTTTTAATAACTTTGGATAAATAAGACTAAGTTAAGACAAATTGATACAAACTGATGTGCAAAGTATGGGTGGCACTGATTCACCCATTGAAGAGATATTTTATGATAGCTGCGCCACGAATTTTGACAACATTATAGGTGATATTAATTATTTGGGCTATGTGTACCCCAAGTGAGGTGACCATTCCCATATAATTTACCTTCTTCTTAGTTCTTAGCAACACTGCCACTGAGTAGAATTTATATTCTAGTTCTAGACCTACTGAATGCCGAATGCAGAGACTGAGAAGTGAATCCAACGAAAGTCTCAACAGATCACATAGAATCTAGATCCAACGAATCACATTAGAATCTAGAATTACATGTATGTTGGCCCTATCACTCTCAGTTTAAGCAGAAATCCACAGGGGTTCTTAGGACAGAGGTCTGTTTTTTTCCCAAGAGTACCGGCACATAGTTTATAATTTATCCAATGACAAAATAGAAACTAAGGGCCTAGGCTAAAGTGAACGAGAAAGACGCAGTACATGTAATACTAATAGAACCTAGGCCTAGCCTACTGAGAATGCCGAACGTGGCGAAGTGCAAATAAGCACTCAACTCTCCAAAACAGAATATGTTTCAACATCATCATCCATCATCCAGTGCCAGATCTGCGACAGACATCGGTGATCATGATTTTCCATTCATTCCTTTGCTCGGATGCTCTCAGAAAAGCCACGTTTCCCTGATCTTTCCCTGTTACCCATTTGTTTAGGTTCCCTAAGTATGTTGTTCTGGGCCTACCCCTGCCTCGCTTGCCTTCAATTTTGCCAGTGAGAGCTAGATGTTCAAGACCCTTATGTCTATTCAGGTGTCCCAAAAACTGCATTTGTCGTTTCCTGATTGTTTTTAACAGCGTTTTTAACAGTTTTTAACAGATTGTTTCAACAACGTCGATAATTAGCCTCCGCATCGGGGGCTGCCCAGTTTGTCACAATTTCATATAACGTATTTGAGTATTGATGACAGTCATAATTACAGCACTTGAACACTGTAGTGGTAACTTAAGTTTTTTATTCTCCACCTTCAAAGTGGTGGTGTAGAGATAGTCCCTCTAAAATGTCAATTCAGCTTGTGTTGCTCAATATTTTTTCCTTTTTTGTATGCAAATCAGGACAATTACTCTGTAAAATTTCAACAATGAATGTTCTTTCGTTAAACACAAATGAAAAATAAAATTCAATTCATACAATCAATCAATCAATCATTCATTTACTCTATTTTAAGAGTGTCGGTGACAACTTCCATACTACTTGGCACAGTCGAGGCCTGTGACAAACTGGGCATGAGACAAACTGACAATACTGACATGCTTCTAGCATCTCGGTATCTCTGGTTTCCAAGTAATAAATAAATAAGAGTGGCGCAGGTACGTGTTTTATTCAGTTTTCAATGCCATTGGCCCACATCATATTATAAAACATACACACTTTATATAAATCTAAAACAGACTTCCGAGAACAGCACGAATTAAAGTTATTATATAACAACAAACATTTTAAGAAAAAAGTTTTGTGTTGTGAGACAGACTGCCCACAACAAAATAGTACAGGTTGTACATTTATTTACCCCCCCCCCCCCCCCCCCCGCCATTTTTATAGTAGTCTTACTGGGAAAAGGAAAGATTTATGTTTTAAAACAGAATCCCCTGTCCGCTAACCTCTCCCCCCCCCCCACCAAAAAAAAGACAAACAACAAAACACACACACACCTCACATAAACTACTTCTCGCCATAAGTTAAATAGAAGGCCTACCTTTGTCTATTCATCAGACTGTCAAACAAAAGCTCGCTTATCACCAAACTTTCCTTCTCTCTCTCTCTCTCTCTCTCTCTCTCTCTCTCTCTCTCTCTCTCTCTCTCTCTCTCTCTCTCTCTCTCTCTCTCTCTCTCTCTCTCTCTTACTATTTTCATTAATTTTTCTCTCTACGTACGTCTCATCTCTGTTCCACCAGTCTAAATTGTTTTGTGTTGTTGTAGTTCTTTTTTTCCATGCAATTATCGAACAATAATCCTATTTGAAGTATTTGAAGCTCACTGTTAAAAGCAATCAGGAAACGACAAATGCAGTTTTTGGGACACCTGAATAGACATAAAGGTCTTGAAATCGAGCTCTCACTAGCAAAATTGAAGGCAAAAGAGGCAAGGATAGGCCCAGATTAACCTACTTAGGAAACCTAAACAAATGGGTAACGGGGTTAAGAGCATCCGAGCAAAGAAATGAATGGAAAACCATGATCGCCGATGTCTGCCCCTGATCTGGAACTTGATGATGATGATGATGATGAAGATGATGAATCCAATTACTATTGCCGGTACATGTAAGACGTACGGGTAGCATCCAATAAAGTTCTCACGACGTTTAATTATTGCTTGTTTTTAATGTACCATACCAACAGTGTACCCTCCTTCAAAATATTACCTCCGCCTTTTCCAGCATTTACTTTTCATTTTAATCATTATCTTTATGCCAACCCCCCCTTCTCTCTTCCTTAACCAAACCCCATCCATTTGTGCTTTAAGAAATGAGTCAACACAAAGTTATTACATATATGTACAGTTGTATTGTGTATACATATTTATTTAAACTAAACAAACCAATAATATAATAATAAACAGTCAAGTTACAAGACAGGAGCTTGGTCCTTCCAAGACATTGGTTCATTCAGCTGCAGTTTTGTCAGCTGCACTGTACATGATGTAGTTTGTGAATGGTACAACATACATAAACAACTTGATTACGGTCAAAAAATGAAAAGGAAACGATAGTGACAACGATTATGATTTTAATGGTACTGAATGGAAATTATGACAGTTACGACCATGGAGATGAAGGTAAAATACTTTAACTGTGTGGCTAACAATGTGTCTCAGTCTCAAATACTGAATGATGACGATGAAAATGATGTTGATGATGATGATAATGATGATTATGAAATATCTAGAGGCGACCCAAGCCATCAATGACTATCATCACCACAATTGAAGAGTAGTAGATTCAAAATTGATACCATTGGCACCGTCTCTGGAACCCTCCAGCCAGAAAGACATGAAAATGTTTCGAACAAACAGGGAAAAATAGAATTCATCACAGCTTTCCACTTTCCCATCATAATACAGTCGAACATGCTGTAACTCTAATGACCACTTGTCCAAGACAATCACCTGTACAAACAACCACTTCCCCCCTTTGAGTTTTTTGTCATGTATATCATAAAAGCACTGTTCAAGACTCCACCTGTATAAGATAAGCACTTTTCTCCTTGACAATTGGGCGGCCGTCTTGGACAATTTCGGCAGCATTTCTTATTTAACAAAAAGTTTGGCACTTTCAGAATAACTGCACAGGGAAATAACCATGCTTGTCCAAATGAACACGCCAAAAAAACCTGTATCCTACTTATAACTATTTCTATGACTAGTGCCTTTTTTTCTTAAGTCTTCCTTGATAATCAACAGCTCTACAATGTGAGGCGTCATGTGTCCTCCTCCACTTGATATCATGTCATACTCCAGGGAATTTCAGGCACAGACTTGTATAATATCCTAGATCACGCACAGTGACATATTTCTGTTTCACTGTGGAGTTATTGAGTGCACCATTTGACTCAGTTTGATTCAAATGAAGGGCGAGGAGAGAACATGCTGCGCATACTCCACTATAGGCCGAGGTAGTGCTCTTCATCTGGGTGTAATGGCATGGTTCATGGTGTGCACACTTCATGTAGTTTTCATAGAGAGTGAAGAGTGGCAGCCATGACGGTACTCCGTCTAGTAGTACAAGTGGCGTCAAAAGTCCCGTGGTTAGGCTGCTGAGCTCGCAACCACAAGGTCGTGCGTTCAAACCCCAATAGGGTCCAGCGTTGTGTTCTTGGGAAAATCATTTAATACGAATTTCCTAACTTCACATATATAGGAAAGGGTACCTAGCTATAGACAAAAGGTCTTGTCTGTTGGTGTTTGAGAACTTAATCAGCTGTGTGCACTGTGTGCTTCTCAGGAGGTCAAGAATGTTTCTGAGTGTTCTACGGTTTTATGGGTTCACAATATAGATTGTAAAGCCCATAGAGCTTGGTATTGAAAGGGGGTTAACATTTTACAAATGTTATTTATTAATTATTAACTGATTACAAGTCTTTGAAACACGCATACAAAGCACACAACAGAGACAGTCATTTCCTTTACAGCTGGATGAATATGTTCAACCAGGCTGTTTGGGTCATGTGGTCCATATTTTGATTGATGAATAAGAACAAAGAGTATAAAGTAACAACCATCAGATAATGAACTTGAAATCATTGTCTGTAGCATGTGAACTGGGTTCCATTGTCCACTCTGAAAAATTGTCAAACCAAACAAGCTGGTAGAAGCATTTTTTCTAAAAAGCGGCACAATAGACAAAAATAATCACAGTCCAGCAGAGTGTTTTGAATTTCGGTAAAGCTGAAATTGTGGCTTTGACCATGGTGGTTTTTCTTTTATACCAGTACTCACTCCCTCTCTCTCTCTCTCTCTCTCTCTCTCTCTCTCTCTCTCTCTCTCTCTCTCTCTCTCTCTCTCTCTCTCTCTCTCTCTGTATGAAAAGTAAGCATTATAAATAAATGTAAATAAATGAATACTAAAAATCCATGCAGTTCTCTGTGCAAGACGCTCAGCTCCATCAGAATCTCCAGCATTATAGGCTTGTGCTATTAATAGTACAAATCTATGTTCAGCACCGATATGTTGGGGAGTGTGGCCATAGACTGAATGTTGGAGGAAGTATGAGTAGGTCAACAACTTGTTTGCTGTACTGTACATGACCATTATTTCACATGGTTGAAGGAAGCAAGGTTAGGTTCACAACTTGTTTTCAGCACTATAAATGAACACCATTTCACGTTGTTGGAAGTGACGCCATTCCCTGAATGTCCATGGAAGTAGTCGTAGGTTTACAACTTGTTTGCTGGAATGTTGTCAGCAAGGCTTGGTTGCTTTGTGTCAGCAGCGTATAATTGACAGTCACACTGAAAACACAAAATGTGAACATTTTCGTTAGCTCTCTACGCTTTGTTGGCAACATGAATAAAACATGGGTGAATATTAATTTATTAGTGAGGAAAAGTATGACAGGTACATGATAGGGCAGTTTGGGTAAAAGTAGCTTGAATCCCCCCCCCCCCCCCCCTTTCAGAATTGTGCTCAGATATAAGTTTACTCTGGGGGTCAGAGTGGGGTTGGTGCAACGTCTTATAGGCAGGCTCGTCAACTTATTTATGGCCAGCAACTATTTTTGTCAACTTTAAGAAGCTAATTTGTTTGTACCACCCAACTACAAGCATTTCCCAGCAGGACATAAAATAATACACGTCACTACTCAAGTGATCCCCACCACCCACCAAAATTACTTATGCCCCAGTAGTTGGCGGTACCACCCAGGTTAGTAAGCAAGCACTGTGACACAGGAACAGAACAAGCGAGCTGTGACTGTAGATATGCACGAAGACAAGAGGCTTTATATTTTACTATCACCCAGATTGGTACATGTATCCCTCTCTCTCTTTCCCCCTCTCCTCTCCTCTCTCTTTCTTCATCTATTTATCTATTCTACCGATCTATCTGTCTCCCTACTTCCAAATCTCTCTCTCTCTCTCTCTCTCTCTCTCTCTCTCTCTCTCTCTCTCTCTCTCTCTCTCTCTCTCTCTCTCTCTCCCTCTCCCTCTCTCTCAAGTCTCTCTCTCTCTCTCTCTCTCTCTCAAGTCTCTCTCTCCCTCTCTCCTTTCCAGGCTTCATTACTCGAACCACCTGGTCAGTTCACAAAAAGTCTTCAGACTGACCTACATATATGCTTTGCTTCTTTCATGACTGATTAAACTGGGGCCAGATTTATGTTTTCTGACTGAGAGTACCTTGACAGCGACATAATGGAAACTAAATCTCATCGAGACTTCAACAGTAATGACTTTCAACAAACATGAATATATGCACTTCCCCTAAAGGCTTACAAAACGTAAGTCCAAGAGTAATCGTTAATGCCTTTTTCAACGCCTTAAGGTTATTTAAGAGGTGAGACCTCTGGATGTAACATCCATCTCTGATAGAACCAAGCCAAGTAGGTGGAGAGCCTGGAAAAATAACTTTCAAAGTTCCAGAAGGCTGCATTGGGGATTTAAACCAGGGTCCCCAGAACTGAAGCTCAGCTTGATGCCAGCAGAATTAACAGCACTTCCACGATAAACAGCCTTGAATCCAAAATGAAGGTGAGTGTAAAAAAGTAAAAGCAACACACAAATATGAAAGACTTATTTACAAACAGACTCTTTTAGTCGCTTGCCCAATCCCATCAAGCTGACACCACCCGATAAGTGCAATATTAATTGTGCACATGATGTGTTAGCTATAGTTTACATAAGATTACGATAAGGTTAGTTTTAAAGATGGTAAAAAGTGCATTATTACTTTTTATAGTTACGACTACTATTACTGAAATCTAGAAAGGGAATGCAAAGAAGATTTTTAAGATCATTTACAAACACACTCTATAATTTTCAACACTCACGAGAAGAACAGATAGAATTCGTACTCCCACTTGTATGGAGCTTTACATCGTTTTCTGTGGAGACAAAACATGCAGGCTGATTTCTCCTACCCATCCAACCAAATGTAACTGAAAAAAACATCAAGCCCACACAGGCTTTTTTTCTACCCATCTAACTACATCTAAATGTAAGTGTAATAAAACAGACAGACATGTGCGCCCAAGCTTTTCCTTCAGCCCATCACGCTGGATGTAACTATACAACCAAAAATAAGCCCATACCAAACATGCCCAAATAAGTTTTTTCTCTGCTCATCCAACTACTAGATTCGGCTATTTAAAAAAATACAACTAAAGAAATAAACAGAACATGTCTATGCAAGCTATTCCTTGACCCATTCAACTAAATCTAAATGTAATGTAAATATGCACACATGTCCATATAGGTAATAGTGTTTCCTCTACCCATTCAGCTAGAGCTATAATAGATCAAGGCAAACCACAAGGAAGACTGGAAGAATGCAAGGGACACATGTATGACAGGAAGGATGATGTATGACCACATGAATAAACCACCGGTCAACAATCCAATCAATGAGTTAAGGAGGGAAGATCAGTTCATAATCTTCCAACTTAGAAAATAATATGTGCCCCTCAACCAACATCTCAACCGAATTGGAGTAAAGCAGTCTGCTGCCTGCCCACTATGTGACTACCCCTCAGAGACAGTGGAACATCATCTGTTCTTCTGTAGAAAACTAACCGATCCAAGGGGATGTTTTCTTCCCAAACTACACCACACATCTCACTGCCTCTACTCCTCAAGACAACAATTAGAAAAGACATGCAGCTATTACAGAATGGCATCATGCAGAAGAGTTAACGCTCAAATGCTACTGGATCATTAACAACAACATAGCTCTTTACTGTAAAAAAGCAAAAAAATTACAAAATATGCCCACATAAGCAATTTCACTCTCCGTCCAACAAGATTCAGTAAAAATGTTAACGTACAAAACATGACTTGTCTACAGAGGCTTTTCTTTCAACCCACCAGCAAAAACTGACACTAAAAGTTAAAAAAACAACAACCCTGACCAACTATAAAATATGCCCACATCAGCCTTTTCTTTATCGATCCAACTGGATGTAACTGTAAGTAAAACTGTAAAATATGTTCTTATAAACTTTTTCTTTTTCTATCCTACTACATGTAAATCTTAATCTAAGTGTAAATTTTTAAAAACAAAAATGTCCATATTACTTGTCATCTATCCATCCAACTATAGTGGGGTCAAAAATTCGTGGTGCAGCCTATTGCAATATTTCCTAAACTATCGAATACATACTCTCCAACTTTTGCACAATGACTTGTATCAATTTGTATTAACAGATCAATATTTTTGTAAAATACATTCTAGAAAAGTCCTTAATAAATGCTAATTAAAAATCCAAGTACGTGGTTTCTACAGATTTTAAAAAGTTCACAGCAAGTCCGTCATTTTTTTCTAATCGTGACGCAACCTTTATTGAACCCATGTTTTGAGAACCTTTAGTGTAAAAAATGTGTTCACTTGTCACAAGTGTCGCCACTAAAAAGTGTCATAGGTGAGCTGTGACATAGGCCATATGCATGATGCATATATACAAAATGTGTTTTAAGAAGTGGGAAGTGCTGTGAACAATCCCTTTTTCAGTGTGATAGAATTTTATATAAATTTAAGAAGAAAAAATTTTATAATCTAGCCTCAATTTTTGTAAAAACAATATGATTAAGTTAAGAAAATTGATAGAAACTGCTGTGCAACGTATGGATGACATTGATTCACCCGTTAAAGAGAAATTTGGAGATAAGTTGTGCAACAAATTTTTGACCACGCTATTCTTTGTAAATGTAACAAAACATATACAGTATGTTCATTAAAAGAAAAAAAACATACACAAAAGTAGTTCCCTGAGCATCCTGTAATTTAATCTGTACGGGTACGCTGAGTGTGGCATCAGACTTCAGTTCTATCTCCAGCGGGTTGTCTACGTATGCGGTGGCATTACCCAACGCTGACTGGAAGTATCTGGCTGTTAATGACACCCCTGTCACTGTCACCTGCACAAAATTGCAGTTGCTCAGGTTGAACTGGTGCTGCGGAGGGCAGGGAAAATGGGGGTGAGTTATCTTTTATTTTATGGTTTAGTTTAGAACAGGGATGGGCAAAATTTCCCGGGGGCGCTCTCGAAGCCTAGAGGTTAAGGTGTTCGCCTCTCATTCAAAAGTCCCGGGCTCGAATCTGGGTAGCAACGGAAATTTTTTTCTCCCTAAAATTGCCTCCTTTCACTTTCACCTCCGTTCCTGCTCTCTAGCAATGATCTGTCGTGTGCTTTCGTCTCCTCTTTCTGCCCCCACCCTCCTTTGCCCCCTCCTCTAGGCTCCTGACTCTTTCAGCAGTCTTTCTACTGCTACTCCTTGTACTTATTACTGCTGTCTTTCAGCCACACCCCTGATCTTCTAGTAGGAACCATCCACACCTAGCCTTCTCGGAAAAGGGCGAAGAATCTCTGAGGTTCGTGTGAAAGTTGTGCATGTTAAAGATCCCCTGGTGGTCTAAAATAGATAAGAGTAGGCTTATTTTGGTGTGTCCCACGTGCTCATATGATCTGATGCAGTAGCCAGCGCAGTAAAACACTTACCAAAATTAAAAAAAACAATTTTAAAAAACTTTCCCAGATCAGGCACCATGATCAACAAAGAGCTACATCTTGTAAACCTGAAAATGGTGCGCAATGTCAAATTACTTTTCTCACATACAAAATATACCAAAGCGCATAGCTGCCCACCCCTCTCTGTGGCTATCAGGGACATCCTTGCTCAGAATCAGGGACATTGACTAATTATCAGGGACACCTTACTCATAGTCGTTATACCTTAATACTGCACACCTGCCAAGTCTCCTGAATTTAAATTCTATTTTAAATAATATAATCACAAACAAATGGATGCAAACAAATGGATGCTATATATTCTACATTAAAGAAAGACCTTTTACTTCAATCTCATGAAACACTTTGCGCCCATTTTTCTTATATATGTACTGAAGGCTTTAAAAACACATGTTCATTACATTTTACAGCTATATAAAACTGTAAAGATGTCTTTCTCAAATGAAGTTGGTGTACTCCTCATTCACAAAAGTAACCATCTCAAATACTACCTGAGAAATCTGAACAATTAAAAAAAAAAGAAAAAAGAAAAAAACCCAAAAACCAACAACCAAAAAAAGCAGTCACCAGGAAAGATACTTATTTTCAGATATGAAATAAAACACACACAAAAATTTAATGCACATGTAGACTGCGCACACGTGCGCAGATACACACATTATATACACACACACACACATTATTATAACACACACACACACACATTATTATAACACACACACACACACACACACACACACACACACACACACACACACACACAGCCATCATCAAACCAAAGATCGAGCAGAATGGCCTGGCTGACGTGATCACAAACAATACAATGTGTGCTAGAGTGTACTCACCACAACATCTAGCGTGACGGTGTTGGCTGTGGAGTTGATGTTCACGTGGTGTGAGAGGAGGAAGGGGCTGCTGCTGCTCAGCGTGATGTCACGTGGCATGAGGAAGAAGACCAGGAGGCCGGCCACGATGGCACAGATGATCACGGCGATCACGACATACATCACACTGTGGGGTGGGCGGGAGAGGAAAGGGGCGAAGAGAGGGGGAGGGGATAACAAATATGTACAGGGTACATAATATATTAGATTTCCAATGGAAAACTATGGGGTGATTAAAAATTAGAAATTACAACTTTTCCAAAAAACTTTACAACTTTTATCTACATAACTGAATCTCGTACAAAAAAGGGTAATTTAATTCCAAAGTAATGTGTCAGACATAAAAATCTATACAGAAAAGAACTTGTCAAAAATGGAAACGGTTTATTGAAAAAAAACCCCAACAAAAACATGTGTCAACGCAAAATGCATCCTTTTTGTAATTGCAAAAAATAAATAAGGCACTGACAGGTTAATTTGATTTGTTTTCTTTATTCTCTTTTTAACACTTATTTTTTCCACTCCTGTGACATTTTATTAAACAATATAATGTAATTAATTTCTTTTACAGGGTTACAGAAAGACATTAATTTATTCTGGAATTCCTGTCACTAGTTCTCGACATGCCCTTCTTTGGACTCGGGCGTCGTTCAAAGGCGGTCAAACATAAAGAAGGACCCGCCAAACCCTAAGCAGCTTACAGTAAGCCCCACACACTCTGTACACCTTTCAGTACGGATTGGCTTTTGGGGAAGATAAGGAGTTGAGTGGGATACCGAGGTGTACCCAATAGACTTTTTTTTTTG